GGAGATCATCCTGGACTTCAGGAAGAACCGTCCTAACCACGCTACACTGGTCATCAACAGCTCAGCTGTAGAGGTGGTCAGCAGCACCAAATTCCTGGGGGTGCACATCAGACACCCTCACCTGCCCCCACCCATCCTCACCACCTTCTACAAAAGCTCCATAGAGAGCGTTCTGACCAGCTGTCTCACTGGTGTGGAGGCTTAAGCGCCTCAGACTGCAAGAAGGTGAGGAGAGTGGTGAGAACAGCTGAGAAGATCATCAGGGCTCCTCTTCCCTCCATTAAAGACATTTCATCCCAGCGCTGCGTGTCCCGAGCCGTAACATCATCAGTGACCCCTCACACCCCCACCATGGACTGTTCTCCCTGCTTCTAACACTTCGAGGCATCCGATGCAGGTCCAGCAGATTCTATAAAGGTTTCTTCCCCGTTGCCATTAGACTGCTGAATGTTGTGTAAAATAGGTTATTTTATTTATATTAAAAAGAAAAGTTAGAACTGTAAATATACAGTCATATGTTTATATTACTATTTCTTTATGTATTTATTACTGTTTTTCAAGGCTGGACTTAAATGAAGGCTGTTTTAAATGAAATATCTTTTTGTTTACACTCGCATATACAAAATGACAAAATAAGTCTAAGTCCTTTGCCGCATGTCTCCCCTCTCTCTCATACCCCCTTTCCTGTCAGCCTACTGTCAAAAAAACAAGACACTAGTGCCATAAAAACTAAAAAAAAAAATGTAAATGTGCACCATGTCCTGATGAGTGTCAGCCCCAGAGTCCTGAAGGCCTGTACAGGGCAGCTCTGTGGGATTCTACAGCACCTCTTCACCCTCAGCCTTATTGCCTTGGAGTTGAAGATTCCGCCATACGCCTGGTCACTGAGACAAGGCAAACAGCACTGTTAGGATCATGTTCTTTGATTCCTCCACTGCATCCAAATGAACCTCTGTGTTCACTGGACAGAAAACCCAATAGAGAAGCAATGGTGAAGCCATGTCCAGGAAGGGACAGAGCAGACTGCACTTTCTAAGGAAGATTAGGTCCTTTAATGTTTGAAGAAAGATGTTCTCTTCTGCCATCATCTGCTGGAGGACTCGGCTTATTTGGAGAAGGACTTGGAGAAAGCAGAGTATGTCACAAACGTTGCTTCGTGCTGAATTGAGTCTGGTCTCATCAGATGTTGTTGAGGTCCAGTTAGTGGGCAGATGTCAGTAACAATACATGCCATCCACACATATAAAGAAATCAAACCATAGATGTCCAGAAATGAAGATGTGTAATAAAGGGAAATAACACAAGGAAAAAGTATTGAACACACTTACCGAACTGTATTTAATACTTAGTACTGAAGCCTTTGTTGGCAATGACAGCTTCAAGACTCCTTCTGTATGGAGATATTAGTCATGCATTGCTCAGGTGTGATTTTGGCCCATTCTTCCACACAAATATCTTTAGTTCTTTCCATAGATTTTTTATTGGATTCAAGTCAGGTGTCTGGCTGGGCCATTTGGTGGCTTTATTTTCTTTCTCTGAAACCAATTGAGATTTGACTCTGGTGTGTGTTTGGGGTCATTGTCTTGCTGAAATGTTACCCACATGTCATCTTTACATCCTGGTAAATGGTTGCAGATTGTTTATCAGGAATATTTCTGTTCATTTTTCCTGTCATTCTTCCTTCAATTATTTGATGTTTGNTCATCTTTACATCCTGGTAAATGGTTGCAGATTGTTTATCAGGAATATTTCTGTTCATTTTTCCTGTCATTCTTCCTTCAATTATTTGATGTTTGCCAGAACAATATTCCGAAAAACAGCCCCACACTGTGATGTTCTCACCTCCAAACCTCACTGTTGGTATAGTGTTTTTGGGGTGATGAGCATTGCCATTTGACCTTCAAACATGATGTATATTATGGCATCCAAAGAGTTCAATTTGCTCTCATCTGACCACACTATATTCTCCCAATATTTTAGTCAAACTTTAAATGAGTTCGATATGTTTCTTCTTAAGTAATGGCGTGGTGAGCGTGCATACAGGCCATGGTGGTTGAGTGCATTATTTATCATATTATTTGAAACAATAGTTCCTGCTGATTCCAGGCTTTTCTGAGGCTCTCCACAAGTGGTCTTTGGCTCTTGGACTGTATGTGTTCTCTTTTATCCTGATAATTCTTTTCACCTCTGTCAGAAATCTCTTACCATACCAGGGTCAATGCTGAAGTTTGTCTACACATCAAGTCGCCATAAAACAGCATCTTTACACACAGCTGCTACTCCAAGTGAACAACAAGCTATCAACATTTAGTCTTCTTAAGAAAGGTTGAGTTAAATGGCATCTATGTTATAAAGTCATTTTGTACATGAGAGGTTTTAGGGTTTGTGGCGGGGATGACAAGTGCTTCCAAATAATATTTCGCTTAAGGCCCTAATTTGGTCAGGGGCGGTGTTCTGTCAGATGAGCATACCCGGTCACACCAGCATAGCCATAGTCAATACCCGTTTATCCCTTTAGTTTTTTAAGAAAAATAGTCTTTTAACTACCTCAACGGGTGTGTTTCCCTTTAGTCATGTACAAAAAAACTAATTACTTACTTTTTGATGTTTTTGAAGCATACGGCGATCTAACCTGAAATTGTTTTGGGTTTTTTGTACATGGCTAAAAGGTTATACGCCCGTCGTAGTTTAAAGTCTTTTTTTTTTTTGTATAAAACTTAAGGGATACATGCAAATCTGACGTCTTGCGCATGCGTATGTGGGTATGCTGATCTGACAAAACACCGGCACTGGTGGTATGCATCATATTACCAAACAGCACGGTGTCTACCTGTAGCACTATATATAGGCACTCTGACTGATTATAGGATCTTTTACACTTTTGATGGCAATTATGGCACAAGCTTTGATTTAACATGACCCTTACCTTTTGAAGCATCTGCGATCATCTGTTCATTTTTATATATTTGTTACTCTTGTCAGATTCCAGGTATTTCTTTGACCATTGTGGATTTTGATTGTTTTTTCAGGGGTAGTGTGGTTCTTAAGGGCTGGTTATCCTCCTGCAGCAATGTGTCGCAGTGAGCTTATCGCAGATATTTTTGATTTGTGCCCAATATTGAAGTGTGGTCGGCGCTGTTATTCCACGCCACAATGCAAGAGGGACGAACAGGAACTAGCTGTGGGTTTTAGATATGGCCGAGGCGGTGAGGAAGTGGGGGCAAGTTTGTGCGACAATGGAGGGACATGAGGGCGAAAAAGAGCGGGGATCCAGGTGGAAAAAGGGTCCCAGGGTTCTCGCTCACCTCGCTCTTCTAGCTGGTCCATCTTCACAAGTCGTTTTCCACAATGGTGGTCATACAAACAAAACAAGCCGGTAAGGTACCAAACAGGAAATATGCATAGAGTAGAGCGGATGTAGATTTGACCAATTGGAGGCCTCCTGTCTGCGACTGTCTGTGATCACCTACAATTTTGGAGAGGTGCAGCAGAGTGTCTGTGGAAGGGGCGGGGCACATTTGTGTTCACTGTGACACATGCAGACGACCTGGTTTCTGAGTATAAATCACCTTCCAGCAGGAGAAACCTTCTGAACATCCAGCCACACACATAGGATGGTTTAGGCATACTTTGTAATCTTTTCTATAAATATACAAATGATTGCCTTAGTTCTGGCTTTTCTGTAGATAAGCGCACAATGAAGCC